CTGGGCTAAATCCATTAAGAACTTATCTAATTTTTGCTGCGATTTCAGAGTTGTAGTTATGTTGCCATTAGATGAAATATGGTAAACTGAAAGGAGGATATTTATCCCTTTAAAAATTTTACGGAAGAAATAACTCAAGAATGAATAAATTTTGGTTTTGATAAAAAGCAAACTAGAGAATGATTAGGAAGTGGTTTGCAACCTGATGATGCTGGTTTTGCCTGGTGATTACAAGACATTGAACTAAAAAATGTCGAATGATTCTCTAATTATAATCATGAAAAAGAATTAAGGAAAGAATATGATGATTATCGTTTCAGTCAAAAAGTAATTGAGCAAATGAAAAATCCCCCCCCCGTGACTACGATAGAGATGGAAATCCTACATTAACTGCTGAACAAGAATCATTATTGGAACAATTAATCCCTAATCAGGAGTTAAGAGAGAAATACAAGCCATTTGGAATATGCAAGGAATGTTATCAACCTAATACTGGAGTCGGCAATGATGGTAACTGGTGTCATCCTTGCAATTCAAAGCATTTTGCACAAGACTTTGACAAATGGACTAGTGGTAACCCTGCCATTGATAGTTTTATCCAAAAATCTCAACTAGAAGCAACTAGTCATCGTAAGATTTTAGAATGAATTCCTTACAACCGGCTTACTAGTATTGAATACTTAGCCGAAGGAGGATTTGGTAAGGTTTATAAAGCGAAATGGCTTGATGGATCAATTTACAGTTGAAATACTAAAAATAATAAATGACAAAGAACTAAAGATGTCAAGAATGGAAAAATGCTTGGTTATAGCGAAGTTGTTATAAAAAGTCTAAATAATTCTCAAAACGCAATCCCTAATTTCTTGCAAGAAATTACTTATCACAAGTTAACTGATACTTTTTTCATTGTGCCATGTTTTGGCATATCAAAAGATCCAGAGACTGAGAATTATCTGATGGTCATGGAATATATGTTTAATGGTAACTTGAGACAATGCTTGAAAATGAATGATCAGTTAGGATTTTTGAATAAATTTCTTTGGTTAATCAATATTGCAACTGGATTAAAGCAAATTCACGAAAAAGGGCTACTGCATTGCGACTTTCATCCCGGTAATATACTAAGTGGTAGTCATGACAATTTTTGTATCGCTGACTTAGGCTTATGCCGACCGGCTAACGAAGTTAACAAAGGAAAAGTTTACGGAGTTTTACCTTATGTGGCACCGGAAGTATTACACGAAAAAGGCTATAGCCAAGCGAGCGATGTTTATTCTTTCGCGATGGTGGCTTATGAAGTATTAACTGGTTTACCTCCCTATACAGTTTATGATGACAAAGAAATTTATTATAAAGAAGTGCCCCACAATGTAGATCTGACCTTAGAAATATGTAGAGGATTAAGACCAAGTTTAAGTAGTGCTAAAGTTCCTCAACTGCTAAAGGGTTTAATTAAGGAATGTTGAGATACAGACCCATTAAAACGTCCAACTGCCGGTGAAGTATTTAAAATTTTAAGAGGCTGGTGGGACGAAATTTATTTAGGAAAAGTTACTGAATTTCATAGACAATACGATGAAGAAAGAGTTTGCGAATTACTTTCTGGATTTTATAAGCAGTATAAAGGTCAAACTAGAGAAGTAAAACCTGAGGAATCTAGAAAAGTGTATGAGGAATTATTTTCTGAATTTTGCCAGCAACTTAATTATAACATTTATACAAAAAAGGAGGAAGATGCACAAGAAGAATTCTGAATTTTATTAAGGTCAGTTAAAAGCAACGGTGCATCAAACAGCAACATGACTTATCAAACTCACCCCCAAGCCATTTATACTAGCCGTCTCTTAGGATTCCCTAATCTCCCCAAACCGCAAAACAACCCTTCTCAAGAATGACAAATTTCTGTTTTACTAGAGTTACGAATTAAGACGATTGAAGAAGAATTAGAAGCTATCAAAGAACTCCTTGGCAGTGAATTAGCCAAGTTAGTAGGTGAATTTATTCAGGCTCGCCAAAAAATGCTAAAAGATGAGGAAGATGATCAAGCTGTGGAGAAAGTAGGGGAACTAGAAGAAAAATTGAAAGAGAACAGTTTTTCAGAAGAAGAGACAGAAAAAATTACTAATCATTGTGAAGAACTAGTTGATTTGAAAGAACAGCTGGAAAAACAAGTGTTGCAAAATCAGGTAGAAATTCCCGCCAAAAAATAACACTATGGTAAACAATCAAATAGAATTTAACGAAAAATATAAGAATAAAGAAGTAACAGAAATAGAACTTAAATATAAAACAAAATTTCAAGGACAACTAGTCATTGAAAATTATTTAGAGTTAGAAAAGTTATGCTTGCAGGATGTTAGAAGCGTTGACAAAGTAGTTCTTAAAAATTTAACTAAGTTGCAGGAATGCACTATCCGCGGATGTAACGTTAAAGAATTAATCATTGAAAACTGTTCTCGTGCCAAGAAATTGAATGTTCGAAAAAATTCTTTAACTAATTTGGAATTCTTAAAAGGCTTAGATGACTTAAAAGAACTTGATTTATATGGAAATACTGGGATCGACAATGGACTAGAATACTTACCAAATAGTTTAGAAAAATTTTCTTATGAAAACACTAAACTAGTTGAACTTTTAAAATCCTATCGGGGCGATTGAAAAATTTGTCAAAAAGATTTGCAAGAAATAACCCAGTACAACCCTTGTCAGTTAGCAAAAATAATTCGAGATTTAAAGAAGAAGCATGAGGATTTAAAAAAGTCTGTTTCAGATTTTATTAAAGATAAAGAAGAAATTTTCTATAGTAGTAAGGAATTAATAACAACAGAATTACTTTCAGATTTAGAAAAAGAATTTAAAAACAAAGAAGAAAAAATTAATTATTTAGAGTTCCGAGTATGAGAACTAACTGAGTTAAATGAACAACAAAAAGAAAAAATTCAGACTTATCTGGACAATTTTGGCTCAGAAAAAGAATTGTTGAAAAAGTTAGTTAAAACTTATCTAGAGTTTATTAAATTCAAGAAACAAGGCTTAGGCTCCACTAATTATCGTAAGCAGCTTAAAACATACGAAAAGCATTATAAAGAAATTGAGGATGAACTAGAAAATAAATTGGATGAGGAAGCCATGAATGAAGTTCAACGCATCTTAACCAATTGTGAAGCACTAGTCGAACAAGAACAAGAAATAGAAACTAAACTTAATGATAAATCAACGCTGATTGAGGAACAAAAACAAAACCCGATCTTGCAAATGGCTGATAACAGAGAAGAAAAAGAAAAATTAAAAGAGCAAGAAGAGACTAACTAGAAACAAAGAGAAAGGCGAAAATCTTTATTGATAGCTGAACTTCAAGGTGAATTAAAGGTTTATAGATCAATTACTCCTACCCCCGAAAGTCAAAATGAAACTTTAGTCAGTCAGCTAATTGGCGAACTGAAAGAAAGAAAAACATTGGCTTCTGACGAACAAGAGATTATCACTAAAGCTAAAGAACTATTAGGAGCCAAAAGAATCTTTCTAAATACTCGCCAAATAACTATTAAAGGTCTCCAAAATTGCTACAATAAACTGAAGGGGAATAAAAAATATGCTAAGGTTGATGAAGTAGGAAATGTAATTAATGCTGGAGGAACCGTAGCCGAATCGTTAACGTTTGGTGTACCCAAAGCTTTTGGAGAAACTATTAAAGCTATTAATGCTTCTTTTGAAAGAAAGTTTTCTGATAAACGTGCTGAAGAATTTCAAGAACTTTTAGTTAATGACAAGAATGATTTATCTATACTTGAAGATATAATAATTAATGATAAAATTTTAAAAGATAAAAGCGGAGAAACTAAAATGTTTAGCAATAAGTATAAAATCTTTGAGATTAATCACGGAATTTGAGAAGGTAAACCATTTGCAACTGCTGAGGAAATGGATGATGTCATAATTTTACTTAATAAGAATTTAGAAGAATTAAAAACTGAGTTAGACCGAGAAGAAAAGCAGTTTAAGGAACTCTTAAATGGTTGAGAGCAAAGTCAACTCCAATCTCAAATTCAAATTCTATCTAAATAACAACCAAGGGGAGTCTAAAAAACTCCCTTATCTAATAAGCATTTTGCCCTTTAAAATTTATTTATAATATAAAACTCTATAATAAAATTGAATAGACAATATTGCGTTAGTGTTGTGAATATTGAGCAGAATTTAAAGTAAAATTAAAGTATAGAGATGGCAAAACCAACCAAACTAGTCTATCCGCCCGAAGGTGGAACTTTCTATGATTGTGATTATGTCATTAATGGTCGGGAAATAAAAAGACTAATAATTAGCAATCACTATAAGAAAAAGCACTCCAAATATATGAGTGATAAGTTGATTATTAAGTTTATTGAGGATTATTTGGATGGCGAGAGTTTCTATGATGGCGAAAAAGACGAAACATGAGAATACTTTGAATTAGAACCAATTCTTTATCAAGGTAAAAATTATATATTAGTCTGATTACTCAATGAAAATATACCTAATTTCTTAGGAATAGTCCATTGTCGTTATAGTAATATTAAAGTAAATAGTTATGAAAAAAAATAGTAAAAATAATATCGGTTTCTTTCCACCGGAAGAAACATTAGCCAAAATACGGGAAAAAATGTTAGCACCTAATTATCCGCGAATTAATATAGCCCTGCCCAAAGATGCTACCTCGCTAGAAAAGAGTAAATATTTTTTGTGCAAAAAAGTATTAGTCCATAAGCAAGAGAATAATCTATCGGTGGAGAAACTAGCTCAGCAAATTAATTTAACAGTTCCGGAAGTGGAGGATATTTTGTTTTGCCGAATAAATAAATTTACTTTGGATAGATTAGTGGCTTATGCTAATAATATTTTTTCTTTTCATCTAGCAATTCATGAAGACCCACCAAAAAAGGTAGTAAAAAATTCAATAAAAACCAAAAGTAATGCACTTATTGCTCGCAAAACTCCCAATGGTCGTTTAAGAAAACACGCTTAATTTACCTATTTTTACCTCGTCTAAGAAAAACTAACCAGAAAGTTCTGATTCTACTCTAAGGCTAAACCAAGTGATAAAACTGCTCTCTGTATTAGTTTAAGGAATAAATATTAAATTAAACATTTATTAGATAAATTATACCAAACCTAAAAAACACTTTAAAAATAAGCACTATTAATCAACCTCTTCAATCGTGGGACCATCATCACCACTACCACTATTGCCACTAAACCCTTTTAACTGTCAGATTTCTTGTTCTAAGGTAGCTATTCTTTCTTTAACTCTTTTCCCTCATTACCTAAGTAGATGGCTTCTAAACTAGCAAGAGAGACTAAAAAGGATAAATCTTGAGTAGGAAAATTATTATTTCTAATGTCTAAATAAATATTTTTTGGCTTAATCTTGTTTTCCCGAAAAAGTTAAAATAATTATATAATAATCTATCATGAAAAATAACCTAAAACCGAAACAACTCAACCTTAACCCTTTATCAATTGCCAAATTCTTTTATGAAAAGTTAGGAGAAAGAGTAACGGAACAGTCTTTTATTCAGCCACTTATTTACCTAACTTATACAGAAATACTAAAAAAAGAAAATATTCTCTTATTCCAAGAAGAATTTCGGGCCTGAGAAAGTAGTCCAATTTTAGAATCAGTTTTCTGACATCTACCTAATGAAGAAAAAGTCTTAAGTAAAATGTTAAAAGAAGTTGAAGATATTGACAAGCCTGTTCTCATTAAGTATCTAGAAAAAATTAGTAAAAAATACGGTAAATTAGAAACTTGTGATTTACAATTTGAAGCCAAAAATGAAGCCTGACAGAAAGCCTATGAAAGCGGATTTATTAAGTCGACTGATGTGGAGAGTGAAAGAAGAATAAGAATTTAAATGTTATTTTCTTTTGATAAGTTAGTTACTAGATGTATTCACGGTTCCCAGTTTACTAATCGTTGTGACGAAAAGAAATTTCGTTATCTATTTTCTCAGGTTTTTCAGAAACTGGTTAAATATTCTGCCCTTTCTCTTTTAGAAATTAAGCAAATAGATAGACATTTCCATTATCTTACTTCCAAAGAAATTGATTTTGTTGCCCGAGAAATATTGCCGCAACAATGAGACACTAAACACTTACGTTCCTATTTACACTCTTATCAGGTTTGTCAATTGTCTCTTGGTAACGAGGAAGAGAGGGTAATTGGAATTCTGCAACGGATTAACAATTCCCCCAAGTATCCCGAACGTAATTACCTATTTTGACCCCTGTTCTTTGACTTCGAACATACTTTTCATTCAAATTTAAGGAAAAAGAAACTTAAAGAAAGTTCCTTAATCTGCATTATGGAAGAAAGAGATTGTGATTAGTTAAATTTAACCAACTAAAAAAAGACCAATAGAGTGATTTAAGAACCATACTTAATGACTTGTTGTTTCTGTAACATAAATCACTTATTCTTACAGAGGAGAAAGAAGTCTTTTTGTCCGACATACTAGTCGGAATAGAACAAGCCAAGGAAAAAAGGAGATTGCAAGACTAAAAGGAAGAGGTAATAATAGTGGTGATTCTGGTAAAATTTCTTCTTCTGATATTGAAGAAGTAGATTAACGGAAGGTTTCAAAAGTAAGTGAGATTAGGAATTATTAACGAAAATAAAGAAGAAGTGCTTGGTTTTTAAAGGTTAGTATAGAATTTTATCTAATAAATATTCAGTGTAAAATGATTATTAAATAGGGAGAACAGAGACTCCCTTTTTTATTTAGGTGGGATTTGGATTTGAGTTTGTGGTTCTTGCTCCAAATTAGAGATTATGTTTTTAAACCCTTTCTCTTCTTGCTCTAACTCAAATTTCAATTTCTTTAGGTTATCACTAAGCAACTCAATAGTTTTTTTCATTTCTTCTAAAGTTATGACTGTTTTTCCTTTTCAAATATTATTAGTAACATCAAAAACTTCGTAATCAGCACTAAGCGACTTTATTTCTGTACTCTCCAGTTTATCCTCCAATTTCAGAATACTAACAATAGCGGAGATTATTTCTTGTTCTTTGCTTTCCTGAATAGTACTAATCAAATAGCCGAATGACTTATTAAAGCAAAGTAAACTGTCTTTGTCATTTTCTAGATGCTCTTGAAATTCTTCACTGCATTTAGCAGAGAAATTTCTTTTATAGGAATTATTTATAGAAATAATTATTTCTCCTGCTGCTTTGACAGGATTCCCCGCTTCAGCAGGGCTAATGCTAAGTGCTGTTCCTATAGCACTAATCATATTACCTGCTTCACTAAACTTGGAATATCTTTCGTTGATGTAAGTCTCTAGTTCATTACAACAGTCTTTTAGTCTTGTAATAGTTCCTTGACGAATGGTTATAAGAGTTCTCTTCGTGTTCAAAAAATTAGCCGTTTTTTTTATTATTTTTATTCTTATAATTCGCTCATCAGCGAGGAGTTCATTAATTTCTGCTCTTAGTTCTAACAATTGTTCTTTTAATTCAGTATTTTCTTTGCTTACTTCTAAAACGGCGTTTAGAATTTTTTTAAGGTTTGACAAAATTTCGATATCTTCTATAGGCTTTTTTATTCTTCCTAATTCTTCCAATTCTACTAAATTCTTTTTGGTCAGACAAATTTCTTCTATTTTTTCTTTAGTTATTTACTCGCTTAAATCTCTCAGCATAGTCTCTTTCACTGCTATGGCAGGACAGTCATTCCGTCCGTCTTTAGTAACAATTTCTTGCTGCCTTAGTAGACTACTCACTCAATTCCGAAGATCCTCGCCTATTTTTTCTCCTTTTTTCCTCCCATCCTTATAAACTAGTTCTTCTAGCTGCTTCTCCAAACTTTCACTTATCGTCTTCTTTAAGTTTTCCAAACGATTATTTTTAATATTTTCTATAATATAAGCTAGTTCTTCTAGTTTTATTTTTAATTCTTTGTTATTGGTTTTAAAAAAACTTCTCATGGTATTAGTTGCTATTTTTCTTGCTGCTTATAGGAAATAACTTCAACTTGTGTAACTAATTCTTCTTCCTTTCCTAGCGTTTTTATAACTTCCTCTAACTGTACTACTTCCTTTTGTTTTTGGCAAATCTCTTCTATTTCTTTTTTGTTTAGTTTTTTGCTTAAGGAATCCTGCAAGTTTTCTAGACTCTTTTTCAAGGAATTATCGGCTGATTTAATAATGTCCATCTGGACTTTTAGTAATATTTTCAGAATAAACTCTGATTCTTCACCTAGTTTGTTTTTTGCATTGCTAACTAATTTTTCCAGTTCTTTTTTACCTCTTTCTAAATGAAAAGATAAAGTTTGCTGACGATAACTTTCCAGTTCTTTGTTTTTTTGGTTTAATCGTGATCTTAATTGATCTATTTCTTCTTCTCAGAAAACTTCCTCTTTTATTTTTTTTGTTTGATAAACATTTTCTTTCCTATCGTTACCAGCAACTAATGCGGAAACAATTATTGTAGCTTGCACTTCACTCATTTCTATCCATTTCATTCCTCTTTCTTGTAGAAATTTCTTTGTTATTTCACGAGCATTTTCTTTTATTTTATCTATCGATCTTCTTTTTTTATCCTTTAAATCTTGATTATCATCATTTATTTCGTTAAGTTCTTTCTCCAATTCCTCTTTTTCTCTCATATAATTATCAATTCTATCATTTAATTCCTCCAAATTATGAGGTTTATAAATTTCACAGCAACTTTCTTGTAAATAGTTTAGTAAAATTGTCCGGGAAATTTTTCTTTCTTTCACATTCTCAATTCATTTTTTTTCTTCTTCAGTATCCGTGGAAGGATTATCAATATGAACAATTTTTGCCCTCTCAAAAGCCTCCTTTATTAGCTTCGAGAGTTCTCCGCCATTGCTAACCATTGTTCTAATATCTTCCTCACATTCCTCTTCCTTTTTGAATTTTGCAAATCCAGTTCGCACAATGGTGATATACTCATTATGTTCTTCTTTATCTGCAAAAATAGCCTTAGCCAACTTATAAGCATCTATTTCGTCCTTATTAAATCTTCCCCTTGTGACAAACAGCATTTGATTTATTCCTTCCCTTGCATGGTAGGCAACTTCTATTATCCTATCTAATATTTGTTCTTCAGATAATTTCGTACCACCAACACCGGGTATGTCAATTACTCGGTATTTTATATTTTGGTAAGTAAATTCTTTAGCCTGAATTTCCCTGGTTTCGCCATCACCAAAAGGATTTTCTTTAAATTCATGACTGTTGCTCAGCACATTGGCTAAAGCTGACTTTCCGTTACCTGTCCGGCCAATTAGCAATATGTTTCGATAAGGAATAGATTTATTATTTTTATTAAAATTATCTATCAATTGCTTTTGAGCATCGGCAATTTTTTGCTGAAGTAGTAATTTGTCTCCTTCGATATGATTTCTGATTTGTTTTTCCTCTGCTAGTTCTTGCTTAATTTTTTCTAACTCGGTGGTGAGTTCATATAATTTTGTTTGTCAAGAACTTTCGCTTGATATTTCAGATGATCGTCGGCTAGCAAAAGAAAAAAGTGGAGTAGAAGTATAATAATCGTCATTAACGAGCGTAGTGGAATCAAGCGAAAAACTAGATAAAACCGGAGTAGTTCGGACTTTTTTCCTCCACGCTGTCAAATCATAAAATTGTCTGCCTCTCCTGTTTTCTTTTAAGCAAAACTTTAATTCTTCTTGAACTTTTTCTCAGCCAGTATCACCAATACTACCTAAGTATAATTTCTCAAAGTGATTATTATGACAATAAAGTTTAGTAAGTTTTGAACAACCCCTAATATCCAATTCAGTAAGTAAATTATCTGAACAGTCTAGCTTTTGAAGATTTGTAAATTCTTTTAGGTCTAATGAACCTTCCAAATTTTTATTTTTAACATCTAATTTAGTAGTCGTTTTCCTTATTTTAGTAAAGTATTTTTTATCTAACCACTCCTGTGCTTTTACCATATTTTTGTAATATTTATTTACTTCTCGTATTTAGTTGTTTAGTTTACAATCACTACGCAGAACTTAACTCTTTGATAACAAATTAGGTAGCAATTGCTTTTATAATTATGCTAATTTGCTATCTTTTTATTTTCTGACCATAGGCATTCTATAACCAAGTTTTACACTTTTTTATCTGAACAATTAAAAATTATTTATTTCTATTTTTTTACCAATAGTCTCTAAAACTTCGAATCAGAAAATTTCTTTTTCTAATTTTTCTACTGTTTCTATTTTTGGCTTGGTTATGGGGTGTTTGGGTTCAAATAAAGAACAACAGTCTTCATATTTACTTAGAGAAAGGTCATAAGTGCCTATTCGTTGTGCTTCGGTAATTATTTCGTTTTTGTCATAACTGATTAAAGGTTGTAATATAATTAGGGAACTAACTTGTTGAATGACTGCTAGGCTTTCTAAGGTTTGGGAAGCCACTTGAGATAATGAATCACCAGTCGCAATTGCTCTAATTTTTAATTCTTGGGCTAAGGAACAAGCCAAACGAATAAACATTCTTTTTAAAATGACAAGACGGTATTTTTCTTGACTAATATGGCTAATTTCAGTCAAAAGGGTCTGAGTACCAACTAGACAAGTATTATTAGAATAATTATTGTAAGGGCTTAGTTTTTCCGCTAACTTAAATATTTTTTCTTGACCCTCTTTTTGCTGATAAAAATGGTAATAAATAACTTCTGAACCCCTTTTCATTAATTGGTAGGCAGCTACTGGCGAATCTATACCCCCACTTAGAAGTAACAGAACTTTTCCGGAGCTACCCACTGGCAAACCGCCCAAACCTTTTATTTTCTCAGTAAAAAAAATGATAAAATTACGATAAATTCGGATATAAAAGGTTTTTTCTGGACTGCTTAAATTGACTTTTAGACCTTGTTCTTGGGTTATAATTTCCCCCAACTCTTTTTGTAATGTTAAGGAATTTTTGACAAAAGTTTTATCACTCCGGCTAATGTCAAATTTGAAAGTGGTAAAATTAATTTGGTAATAGTTAGTAATTTCCTTAACAAAGTTGTAGAGTTTTTCACAATCTTTTTCTAACTGGTAAGCCAGATAAAAGACACTAATCCCAAACACTTTATTTAAGGAAGAAATCATTTTTGGCAATTCTTCATCATTTTCGGCCGTGACTATTAATTGGTCGGATAGTTTTTTGATATTAAAGTTGGGAAAGTTATTTTTTTGGAAAGCTAAGGTAATATTAGCAACTAATTTTTGAATAAAATCATTTCTATTTTTTCCCTTCAAAAACAGTTCTCCATAGCGAATGATTAGACATTTTTTATACATTTTTTATTTCTCTCTCTCTCTCTCTCTCTCTTGTTAAGTCCTGAAGTAGGTAGTAACTTTCTTGCTAAATTACTTTTTTTGTTGGTTAAATAATTTCTTATTTTTTTGCGGTATCGTAAAGTAAAATAAACTAGCAAACTAAATAAACTAAACCAGAAAAGGACTAAAATAATTTTCCAAATAAAACGATAATCTTGGTTAATACCTAATTTATCTGACATTTTTTTGGAACTGAGAAAGTTCATAACCCATCTGGCGTCAAATCTTTTAAAATATTTTCTATCACCAAGCTGGCTTCGAAGATAACCATAAGAAAAATAAAGGGTGGGTTGAATTAGACAAAGCAAAAACGTTAATTTTAGTTTTTTTTTTAATAAGTCCGTTTGTTCGTGGCGGAAAAATCAAACAATAAAATAGCCGGGAGCAATAAAGTGTCAAAGGGGGGAGTAAAGCCATCACTGAATTACTTTGCCAACTTGCATTTCCCCAATTTTATGGCTAGGAATTGGAACTAGTTTGGTTGTTCGGCCGGTAATTCCCCAGTAAGTGGTCAAACTGGTAATTAATCAGATAAGCAGACCCAGGCCATAAATTAACATAGTAATTATGTTGCTAATCATGACTATCAGAGAAAATATTTGGTAAGAATAATTATTAGTTTTGGGTCGTTTTATTAATTTTCAAAGAATAAAAACAATGGTTAAAATGGTATTTCAGGTACACCACCAGGCCAAAAGATGTCAAAAAAAAGAACCAGGATATTTAACCTTATCTCCGCCATTAAATCAGGCTGAAATTAGACAATATAAGTGAGAAATAAACAGGAGAAAAAATAATTTTTTTTCTTTTTTTACCATATATTAATTTTTAATTATTTTTGTAACAGTCAAGAGAAAAAAAGTAAAAACTTATCAAAATTCCCAATATTTTCTCTAATGTTTTTTTTTACTCTCTTTAAATGATAAATTAATTAATTTTTCTTTCTGAAAAAGATTAATCAGGCTAATATCATTGTCACAATAGCCACTAAAAATCCGCCAAGAGCAGGAAGCGCCCATCAAAATTTTCCTTCGTTTGCTAATTCTTCTAACTTTTCTCCACACTTTTTACAGGCCCTTCCAACTTTACCAGCTCCTTTGTTAGAAGCATCTTTGACCTTTTGTCAGACTGTTTTATCAGCATTTCATTCTCCGCCTTTAACTAACAAAGTATGCCTTCGCCGCTTATTCTCCCTTTATCGTCTTCTATTTTAATCTCTTTTCCTTCCTCAATCTTTTCCAAATCACTGTCATTTACGTATTTTATTTTTAATCAGGAATAACTATTGCTATCATAATTAGTCGGTTCAATTTCATAGAGGGCAAATTTATCATAATTATCAGTAATTTTTTTGTTCAATTTTTTAATTTTAATATTTATATTTTCTGTCATATTAGTTATATTTTATATAGGTTTTATTATGCAAGTTTGATGTTCCGTGGTTTTTTTTTTTTTTTTTTTTGCGGAATTGTTTACTAAGTAAACAAATTTTTAATGTATTCTCGCCAAAAAGTGCAAATAATTTGCAAAAAAAGTAGTGATTCTTATTCTAAAATTCTAATTTTCCAGGAAATCTGGGAAAAGCAATGGTATCACGAATATTTTCGGTGCCACTGATAAACATGATTAATCTTTCTAAACCTAAACCAAAGCCAGCACTAGGAGCATAACCACATTTTCGTAAGTCAAAATATCAATATAAATTATTTATATCTAAGTCTATTTTTTGAGCTTTTTCTCTTAAAACCTGATAATTGTTTTCTCGCATGCTGCCACCAATTAACTCTCCAATTTCCGGGAGCAATAAGTCAAAGCACGCTACAGTTTTCTCATCTGAATTATTTTTCATGTAAAAAGCTTTTAATTTTATTGGATAATTAATTACAAAAACTGGTCTATCATTAAAATATTGGCAAAGATATTTTTCGTGCTCAGATTGTAAATCCATGCCTCATTTGATATCATTAAAAACAAAATTTTCTTTTTTTTTTGCTAATATTTCAATGCATTTGTTGTAATCAACCCTTTCAAATCCTTCGCCAGCAAGACTTTTCAATTTACTAATTAATTCTTTTTGGTTGTGCTTTTCTAAATATTCTAACTCTAAATGGTTATTAGTTAGTACATAATTTACCACATGCTTTACTAATTTCTCGGCCACGGTGGTTATTTCTTCCAGGCTGGAAAAAGCTATTTCAGGTTCCACCATTCAAAATTCAGCTAGGTGGCGGGTAGTATGAGACTTTTCGGCCCGAAAACAGGGAGAAAAAGTGTAAACTTTTCCCAATCCTTGAACTAAGGCTTCGGCTTGAAGTTGACCGCTGACCGTTAATTTGGCTGGCTTAGAAAAAAAAGGTTCCTTTTCGTTGATGGTTATGTTAAATAATTCTCCGGCTCCTTCGGTATCATTGCTAGTAATAATTGGAGTAGATAAATAATAAAAACCTTCTTGGTGAAAGAAATCGTGAATAGCTTTACTGATGGAATGACGAAGGCGAAAGATTGCTAAAAAATAATTAGTTTTGGCTCGCAAATGGGGAAAATTGCGAATCACTTCCAACGGAATGTTTTTTTTTTGGAGAGGGTAATTAGGACCAGTTGAGTTAACAATCTCGATCTTGGTGTCTTGTAGTTCACAGGATTGTTCGCGTTCAGGAGTAAGAACTAACTTTCCACTAACTAATAAACTGCTCCCGAAGTTTATTTCGTTTCCCGAACCCGATTTTAAAAAATTTTCTCGGAGAATAATTATTTGGAGAGATTTTAAAGTTGAGCCATCATTGAGAGTGATAAATATGTTTTTTTTACCTTCTCGGACCGATTTTACCCACCCACCAACCTTAATTTTGTCTAATTTGCTTATTTTTTCGACCTGCCGGTAAATATCTTTAATTGTAATTAACATTTGCGAATTACTCAACATCTGATTATTTTTTTTAAAAGTTGTTTATCCAGGACATGAATCCTCAGGAAGAAAGATTAAGAACGGGATTTTGGCTGAGTAAGTCAGGGGCATTATTTACCCTTTGTTTTCTTGGATCCATAGAGGGAGCGACCTTGTTTCCTTTCTTTCACTCCTTCAGTATCACCACAGCCACGAATAACGTGATATTTTACTCCGGGTAGGTCCTGGGCTCCGCCTCCACTAATTAAAACAGAAGAATATTCTTGGAGATTATGTTTTTCACCAGGAATGTAGACAGTGATTTCT